ATTCTTTACGTCTTTTTTGAGAAAGTACAATTTGGTTGTGATTTGTGAAATATTCTATTACATTGAAGAATTCTTAACTACATGTTTTATGTTCGCTAGAAAGTCGATACTATCAGCGGTCTTAGAAAAATTTATATAAAGCCATATCTTTATCCAGAAATTGTACCCGAGGTTGACTAGGCTTGCCTGTCCCTGACCATTCCTGTAGTAGTAAGAGTATATTTTGACCTACACAGGCTACGTGTGTACTTTCACTTTCTTTCTTACAAAAGTGTCAAATGCCTGTTTCATGACAACTTAACATCATTCAACTCAAAACATTTTGTGTACCCTCCCAAATGTTTGTCTGATACTCACTGCTTTTGTTAGGTTAGAGATTTCACCTATTCATGAGCTTGAATAGTGTCCGAATTCGTAGGTCATGCTAGTTCTGACACACGTTCCACCTACAGCAAAGCAATTCTAACCACGGCGTTCTAACAGATAGATACATATTTGGCTTTCTAAGGGTTGTTCTACAGGCCCCAGCCATACTAGACATAAACCTCTTTTGACATACTAGCTATGAATCTTTCCAGTTGACCTTTATTATTATTATTATTATCCGTCATTTTTATACAGGGTAACCCAATTCAGTGATGGCACTGCTTTTCAACGGGGCCCTGTATTACACAGCACAATACAACAATCACATACAAATAATAACATTAGCGTACAAAAATTATACAATAAATAATTAGAATGGCAATGATAATAACGAAAACAATAAATAAATTATAATGGCAATGATAATAACGAAAACACAGTAATTAACCAATAACAGTAATAAATAGTAATAATAACAAAAAATACATCATTGTCCAGTCCAGTCATTGTCATTGTCCAGTCCTATACCTTTCTAGTTATTGTCATCATGTAGGCAAACAAAACCAACCCCGTAAACACCCTGGCATGCACTAATTGATTTGAGCGGGCGGGCAGTACCCAACGCACCGTACGGATACCAGGCAGTCTACGATGGTCTAACTGCCAGGCTATACTGAAATAAAATACTCTTAAACTTTTTATTACAATTATAATATTATGACGATATGGTTCTATTTCACGATTTGAAAATCTTGACGGTATATGACATAAATAAGTTTCAAACAGCCATTTTTGTCCATAAGGTGATACATAACAACTCACAATTACCAGTACAATACAAGAACTTATTCAAACTTAATTCAGATATACGTTTCATTTATGCCCTTTTCTCTCTTTATACCCACAGGTAAACTTCGCCATGTCCACCGTACCCTGAGATGCAGACTACAGCAGGAGTTCACTGGCTAGCATGAAACCTTAGCATGAAACCTAGTCGTGGAAGGATTGGGGTGTGCATTCATGTTTTGCAGCCAAAATTGAAAAACAAGCATGGAATGCAACAGCATCATGAAAGCGAAGAAAACAATAAATAAAAAAGCAAGACTGACACAAACATACATGATAGAAAACACACAAGTCAGTTAGTGAATAAAATTCCTTACACAAAACATCACTGTTACACTACATGTGTCACACAGTAAAGTTATAAAAAAAAACGACCAGCATCATATAGTTGCAACTAAAAACACATTTGAAATATTATAAGCTTGAATATGCTGCTCCTGAGTAAGAAATTTGTTCTCTCTTGATAGAAGAAAACATATTTGAAATATCAATAAAGACAATCATTAATATTCTGTGTGCAAAAAGCCACAGTTTGCCCGAAAAGGTGCTATTGCATGCATGGTAACATAAGCCTTTCCTGCTTGTTCTGATGACCACAAGGCCGGAGGCTACCTCAAAACCAATTCCCTAGGGAATGCATTCATGCAATTTTTGAAATTCTTTCAAAGCGATCGCAGTACTTACACAAATGCCTCCGCCCCTGAGGCGTCGCCAAAAAGGTAGCGATCATTCCCCCACAACCTCTGCTTGGAGAGTAGTGTGTCTGTCTCGATCTCTCTCTCTGTGTCTGCCTGTCTACCTGGCGGTCTATATATATATGTTTCTGTCCCGAGTCTCTTTGTCTGTCAGTCAGTCTGTCTGTCTGTCTGTCTGTCTCTCTGTGGAATTCCCTAAACCACAAAAAGTCAGACACAGGAATAAGAAAATTTAGGTCCCAGAAGCAGGAGGTTGGCCTGGAGTCTAGTCTGTTCGGGTCGCCGGTGCCATATACATTGCATGCCGATCGCCATATACAGCATGCTAGCTGTAATCAGAAACTCTTTCTATGAAAAGTACATCGTGTATGTTTATGGGCGTTGTTACGTTATGGGTGCTGCGTTTACTGACTCCAGTTTGCAATACGTGCAATAAGTGGTCGTCAAACCAGATCAGCGTATAAACTGAACACTCCTCGCAGCAGAACTGATCGTTATCAAAATAGTGCTCTACATTATGATCCGTCTGCTTAATATGTAACGTTAACACTGTCACATTTTTTGGACCTAAGACTTATTTTAGTGTTACCATTGTCCTTCTGTATTAATTTGCATTTGGAAATGTTTGTTGACAATATTTTATATACATTTTATGTATTGGTTCATTAACTATTTTGAATTGCTTTAAATGACGTTTTAAAGTTTTTTTTAATATACTGTTGATGTAATGTCCCGAAATCATTTCAGTCTTTGGCTGCCATCTTTGGGACAGTGTTGTTTTTAATGCAAATAAACCAATGATACAATAGTTTGCTGATCAAAGTTCACAAATACTGACACGCCTTCTGACCGAGCGCTCACTGATCAAGTGCTCACTGACCGAGCGTTCACTTCCAAGTTTCATGCTAAGGAACCCACCACAGCTATCAACAAGAGTTCCACGATCTCATACCTTCGCCAATTCATGTTACCCATTCTGACTAACGAATTTGTACATTTTCTCGTTGATTATTAAAATCCTTATTTCATTTCCCTCATGGATTATATCGGTTGGTCATATTCTCCACCCAACGAGAGCCTTATTTTAACAGAGAAGGCTATTATAGCACTTCCTCATAAATTATACTAATGAGGTTGTGATTTGAATAAATTATGTTTATTTATTTATTTCTTCTTCAAACATACATTGACAGGGAAATGCACACATATACGAGTACATGTCCATATACCCTGAATTGCGTAAGTTTGTTACAAAACAATATTGTACATACCATATGTGCTGAATATCCTGACAAAAATACATATAGTAACAAACGCTACACCAAGATCCAAGCTCACAGGCTGGTGGTTGGTCTAGGAAATAGAGGTATTATAAAGTCTGGCTGCAGTGTGCAGGAAAGACTCAGTCTCAGATGTTCGCCTTCACTTAGCGTCCAAATGTGGCAAGTATGGACTGCTTGGCAGTTACCACTATGAAATTATAGCAATTTGCCATTAATTATTATTTTTTTTTCTGTCCACCCCTCCAGCCGGCCTTCGGCCCCAATGTTCTGTACGAGCTCGCTCAGAAGCACGGTGACGTCATGACCATTTGGATCGCCAGAGAAATGCACATTATCGTCAGTGGATACCAGATGATCCGAGAGGTTCGGACTGGTTTATCATTTTTTTTTATTATTTGTAAAGCTCTTTTCAACCCTGGACTTTGAATGCAAGTTTACATTAGTATTGATAATTCAACTGGTAATACAACACCTACCTATATACCCACATGTCGTTTTCGCTCTGTTTCTTCTTCCGTTCCAAACACTGACCTGGTCAATGATTTGAATCAGACCGTCTGTCACCATGGTAACTAGTGTTGGGTTACAGCATGTTGCAATTTTGTAGTAGGAGTGATTTAGACTAATGTCACCATAAATGTGAATGTGTTTCAGTAAGAATTAACACAGCAGACCATATGCAAACGTTAACATTATGCATTTGCTTTACCTTTTGCGTTACCTTTCTAGTCAAATCAGACTTATCTCATTTCAGGTTCTAGTCCGAAGAGCTGAGGACTTCTCCAGTCGTAAAGTTCCTCAAGTGGTCGTGGATTCCCGTGGTGATGGGACGTCCAACAAGGCAACGAAAGGTGGGGGACAATGATCCAATGACTTTGGATAAGATCCAAATAATTGATACAACAAAATTAAAAAGAAATACTTTAAAAAAAGCTGGCCGGAGGCCAATATGTGAACGGTCTGTTGCATTTGGATGTGATGACGATGTGTTACCAAAATAATTGGTCACCATGATGTCTTGAATTGGACTAAATAATGCTAATAAATTTGGAATCAGATGCATAATTGGAATGCTATATATATGTCATAAACTCTTTCTAGCAGAGAAGGAATTTTAGCAGAGAATAGTCTATTTAATAGCGGTTACGCGCAGTAACGAATCCCGGAACGAAAAATTCGTGATACTCAGTACAAAGCCGGGAAAATAAAGTCATCTCGCCCTGGAGCAATAAAAGTACGAAGTTTTGTACGTTTCAATTGTTCACACTTTAATCAAAGCCGCTGATAAACAGACGTTGGTTGAATTTACACTGTCGAAGCAAATGTTTTGCATATCTAGAACACGTTTCGGACGTTTCAACCAAAATTCAATTTCATGCAGGTGTTCTGTTCGCCGACTACGGGCCGGACTGGAAACAGCAGCGAAGGTTTGCCCTGAAGACCCTCCGAGACTTCGGCGTGGGTAAGCGGAGCCTGGAGGGGAAGATCTGCGACGAGGCCGCCTCTCTCAGTCGGGAACTTGTGACCAAAGACGGTCAACCTTACAACATCAAACACTTGCTGCAAGACGCTGTTTCCAACATCATCTGTTCCATCGTCTTCGGGAAGCGGTTCGAGTATGGCGACCCCGAGTTTCTGTGGCTGATTGAGGTGCTGAACGACAATGTAGAAATCAAACCGGCTGAAGATCTGCTCGCCAACATTCACCCCGTGTTACGTCACCTCCCGTTCGGGTCGGGCCAACAAAAGAAACTGGCCAAAAGTACGTCCAAACTTCAAGGGTACTGTCGAGGACAGCTAGAGAAGCACAGGGAGACCTTTGACCCTAACGACATCCGGGACTTCATCGATGCCTTCCTGCTGGAACAGCAGCACGCATGCGCAGGAGGGGACCAATCACAGACAGGCTTCACGGACAAACAGCTACAGGAGGTTTGGAAGCGATCTTCTTACGATTCTTCTAGTTGATGTTTCACATATTTGCTTCGAGTCAGAGCATGAAGGTAAAAATCACATGTGACTTTTTTTTTACCTCCATGGTCAGAGTGTTAGTCCTGTACACGACTTCAGTACTGCTGCGTTCCCAAAGGAAGCTTAAGTAAAATTGCCAGACTGTCAAAGACTCTCTGATAAGTAACTAAATAAATAGGCTCTTTTTACACTGCCAAGAGGTTTATTCAGCTGACTTCTCAGTGACCGTCTGTCACATTCCTTAGCGCAAATCTGACTGGTTCACATTGCACAGCACAGGTGTTGCTGCAATAGATACTGAATAAACCTCTTGGTTGTGTAAAAAAAAATACGAGTCTCTTTGTTCAGTGACTTACCAACTTGATGAAACTGGCCACGGTCTCTGGGTAGTAGTATAAAAATAGTTTTCTTGTTAAATTGCAGATATGCACAATTAGCATGATTCTTCTCTGTGGGCATGATAATAATTATTGTTATAATAATAATGACATCGTAACAGTTATTGTCGTAATATTTGACAAATTGTCTGCCTTTCTTCTTCTAAAGTTCAAGCGTGATACCGAGTAAAGGAAAAGGAGTGTCGGTGTGTCTAAGACGGGCTTTATGAATTACAGTAATTACTGTGTTCTTGTATTGCTAACTTTATCACAGATCATCATGGACCTGTTTCTGGCCGGTACAGAGACCACCGCTACCACCATGCACTGGGTCCTGCTCTACATGCTGCTGTATCCTGATATACAGGAAAAGGCAAGTTTTTTTGGCAACGCCTTAGGGGTGGAGGCATTTTCTTCTTTACGACGCTAAAGCTTTGGTCCCAATTGGGTCTGCCGGGCACCGGCAGTCGTGGTCACAATTAAAAGTTACCTTCACGCTGACCTGCAGGGATCCCGGGGGCTCCCTCATTGGTCGACCCCCGGCAGGTACCCGGCAGATGCTCTGACGATGTCTTGTAGTGACCTCTGTGGAGTCCAACAGGGTAACGCGTGCTTCTCATATCCCATTGGGGCAGTTGTACTGGGTCCCTGCCACATGCCCACGAACGACGGTCAGGCATTATGAAGGCTCTTAGTGGGCACTTATCATATTTCGGAGTTAGATTCTCCTCGTGTCCCGGACAGGCCAAAAAATAGCCCGGCAGCCACGGGGTGTCCCACGGGGCGACGTAGGGGTCACGCCCGAAGGTGCCCCCCCCCCAAAAAAAAAAGCCCGGGAACTACCCTCTAGGACCCCTTTTTCCAATTGGGACCTCAGCTTTAGGGAAAGAATCTTCTGGTCTCCGAAAAGTATTCGTGCAATACCATAATATTTCTTTTTTCCTATTTTCTTGCATGCACATTTTCAATACTAGGTGCACCGAGAAATCGACGCCGTTCTTGGACAGGCTGTTCCCACTTACGCCCTCCGGGAAAAGATGCCCTACACAACAGCGACCCTAGCGGAAGTGCAGCGCATCAACTCGGCGGTACCAATCGGCGTTCCGCACTCCTCCTCCAGGAAAACCACACTCAACGGCTACACCATCCCGGCTGACGTATCCGTCTTGGTACGACTTTCACATTCGTATAAAGGGGTTTTGTTTGCGATGGATGTGGTTGCATATACATGTACATGTATTTCCATACGTTGTTATTTGAATACAGTATAGTGAAAGAAAGTAAGGGGGAAATATGTAACCGCAGACTGATAGTCTCCCTGCAGACTAGGAGGAAGCGGATTCTACTATCCATTACCACTTCGGAAGACCTGGTCACATGAGGCTACTAATATCCCATTTATGTTAAAGAAAATGAATGAATGAGTGGATGAATGAACTGATGTATGAACAAATGAATGAACTTTATTGCAAAAATTACGATGTTATCAATACAAGTCTATTCTAAAAAACCTTATGACGACAGGAATTTGGACGTAAACGGCTTATTGACACGATGTACAGTACATGTACACGTCTGTTACATGATGTTCTCTCTTTGTTAAAGCACTGGCCTGAGTACATAATTATACATTCCGGGGCATGACATAAGTAGGCTGAAAATGTTAATGTTTCTTTCAAATGTATGTTTCTTCAGTCCAATATCTGGTCCGTGCACATGGACCCTCAGCTGTTCCCGGAACCGGACAAGTTCAACCCCGACAGGTTCCTGGATCGGCAAGGGAACTTCGTCAAGCACGAGGCGCTCATCCCGTTTTCTGTTGGTGAGTTGGAGGTGTCACTGACACTCTATCCAATCATGAAATTTCAAGTACAATATGCTCCTCGCTATGGCTTTATTATCTTTACCGAAGGAAAACATATGGTGTTTGCTCTGTTTCTTCTTCCCCTTCTTCCTCGTCTTCTACAAACCAAAAAGTTCAATGACCTGAACCAGACTGTCTGTTGCCATGTTAACTAGTGTTGGGTTACATCATGTTGCAAGTTTATAGCAGAAGGGATTTAGACTCCTGTCTGACCATATATATATTAAAGTGTTTGAGTAAGAATTAACAGAGCGGACCACATGCGAAGGTAAACATTATGCATTTGTAAATACCTTTCTAGTTCTTCTATTTTTCTTTTCTTTTCATAGAGCATCACTATTTTGTTACCTCAGTGAAGGTTAGACATCCAGGTAATAAGATACGCAAACGAACAGTTACACAAGCAACTGGATATAGTTTTGGAAATGGTCTGACGTATAATGTAGTATCCATTTCCTTTCGTCAGTGACACTGGAGAGACTGGTCAGAAAATAAGCAGGTTTATATTTATAAGCATGGACTATTGATTGATATACAGATCACTATTTTGTTTTTGCAGCATATTTTCTGAGTTATTTACGAAAATGTTCTTAGGTCCTCGTGTGTGCCTGGGAGAACAGCTGGCAAGGATGGAGCTTTTCCTTCTGTTCGTTTCCCTGATGCAGCGTTTCACCTTCCAACTGCCAGAGGGCGCCCCTGCACCGTCCTCCGTGGGCAACATGACCGCCCTGATCAACATGCCGCAGCCATATGACCTGTGCGCCGTCTCACGTGGGTAATAGCGCCATTATCATCAGGCTCAAAGCTAAACTTCAAGCAAACCTTTCAGTGGCTGCCTTACAGTACCAAATTGGCAATACAGTATCCATTTGCCAGCCAGTATCCAAAATGCAAAAAAAAAGATACCAGTACAAAGATAGCCCGATAAAATGCCTTAAAACACGTCAAAAATAAGCCAAAGCAGAAATCTCTGCTTGGAGATCCGTGAATAGTTTCATCAGGTTGGTATGGCACTGAGTAAAGAGACTCTTTTTACACAACCAAGACTTCTATTCAGCGGACGTTTTGGTGACCGTCTGTCACCTTCCTCAGGGCAGTTCTTACAGGATTTATGCTATATCAGCGACATATGTGCTGCAGTGCAATGTAAACCAGTCAGAATTGCCCTAAGGAAGGTGACAGACAGTCACCGAAACGTCGGCTGTATAAAAGACTTGGCTGTGCAAAAAGAGTCTCTTACTCTCTGCTTGGAGAGTTGTTCAATCCCACTAGATGAGCCCCAACCAGGCCTTCCTATAAGTGGTTATGAAAAATTAATTTTTGTTATGAAATTTGATCATGCTGTATTAAACAAACCATTTCAAACTACATTTTTACTATATTTTTAACGTCACATAAAGAGAAGAAGAAGTCGAATCTTTCTGTTAGAGTAGTTTTAGAGCTAACGTTTCTACTACGCAATGAAAGCATGTCTCCTCTATTCATTGGCCTTATTTGCATAAATGGGAAACTTTATATTCTCTATCCATAGTCCTTATTTGCATAAATGGGGAACTTGAATGCTCCCGTAACCCAAGAGGGTTATGGTCTCGGACCGGAGTTTTTCACGATTTTGGATCCGGCGGACACCCTCAGACCGAAGGGCTATAACTCCGCCAAAAAAAGTACGCCATTACATCAGTCAACGGAGGTTTCCAGCCGGCTTCCGATACAATTTTGGTTATTGTCCGTCGACTCTATAATTTGGGTAGAAACTGTAGTTAAACGTAAATTTTGGATACGAAAAATGTAGTTTTTTTGCAGTTTTTTCAACGGACCTGCTTGGAAAAAACGAATTTTCCCAGGCTAACGGCTTATATGCTGAAATAGCTTACTACTTTCTGTTTCTGAAAAACATAAAAAAAAATATAGGTTGTTGCGATAAGTTTTTCACAAAATCCGGTGACGCGAACCCCTAGAAATTCCACATAGAACGCAGCTATTTGGGTCATCAGGCGACAAACCGCATCACCCTTGCTCGCGGACTAATACCAAAAACGCTTCGCTGGCCGTCCAACTTCACCGCGCCGAAAAACACTACAATCCCAAGGCTTTTTGATCAATTCAAAACCTAGTTGAAAATCTACAGCGATCGCCGAGCTATGGGGAGCCAAACCTAGCGTGACAACCTCGCAGATCCGGCGATTTACTGCGCACTATTTGGAACCCTGGTCAGAATTAAACTCCGACCCGGAACCTTAAATTTGCATTTCGACATTAATCATTAACTATGTACAAATATACACCGTATCAACAGGATATTCAATGACCCTGGGAACATACAATAATACAACTGTACATGCTTTTATCTGGCCTCATGATATGTTTTCTTTTATACATGTACCAGATGCAAAGAGCTTGAGATTCATATGTGTGAATATGAATTGGTTTGATATTCTGCCTTTCAATTCAAAGTTGAATGTTATGTTTGACTATGGTCTGTTATAATTACTTGAAAGTAGTATACCAGTAAGGTGTATGAAAACACCCCATGCGTTGCCATGTGATTCGGGGCTTGTTACAAGCTTGCGTAATTAAATGGTAGATCATATGAATGATATTGAACCATTGCAGAATTTTGCCAACAGTAAAATTGCCAAATTAAATTGCAAGATTAAATTGAATTCAATAAACATATTTTAAGTATGGTGCTCTGTGGTTACCCTGTGTACTGCGTGATTTTGTATTAATGTATTACATAGGAATAGGAAGAGCAGCTGACAGAAATATCAAGCTACATGATTGTTTAGATAATAATTGTGGATCCAAATACATTTCAGTCAAAGTAAATTGTCGTCTTTGCACAAATGTTACTATTATTGTTGATATTACTACGCACTACTCTTCATTAGCTATATAGTGCATTCAAACAGGTGAAATGTATGTATTAATTGCAGGACTGTCTATTTTTACATACATGTTTTACGAAAAAACGCATGAAACGTTGCATTGTGTGGAATTTCCGATGTAAGGTTTCTCCTAAGCTTACAATAGGCCCAACGGTACACACATTTTTTACAATGCACATGTTTTCTTTTATTATTTCTCTACTTCGTGTGAAGCCACACTGCTTTTATTTTATGGATGACATCCACGCACGCATCGATTTTCGCCTGTTCTAAAAAATAAATTCGAAATTGAAGCCTGGGTACCATTCTCCGTAGTCCATTATGGCTACCGACAATAGAGAGCCGGCGATAATTATGGAGGATGGCACCGAGCTCCACAGGAATCTAGAACTCCGTACCGTACCGTGCGTGTGCGCCGGTGCCGACTCATAAATGCTGCAAAGGCCAGCATGTGCTGGGGTGAAAGTAGTCATCTACAACCGCAAATTCGCAATACCAGCTTCGCATTCCTTTCGTTTAGAGGCATTTTTGCTGGACTTATTTTATTCGTCCGCTCGCGTCTGCAGAGGATGTCACCCACGAGATTAAGACGGATCGGCCTGACTCTCAAAGACTCGATGTAACGTTTGTTAAGCACATGTAGCAAAGCAGCCGCTGGCCAACTTTGACCCAGTTTCTGGCCCTAGCTGTTATCGACATAGCCGGACCCGCCACAATAAACAGCGACGTCTCCACCGTGAAAGGCAAATATTTGTCCCGGGGGTTATACCCAGCCACTGGGGCAAGGGTCACCACTCTTTCCCCTTATAACCTTTCTAACCGTTAGTTTGACAACACTGCTTTTACACCTGGGGTCGTACTATTGAGGTCTCTTTAGTTAGCGCCGAATGGCAGACGCTCCAGACCCTTTCGATTAATCCCCAACAAGTGTACATGTAAGCTCCTAACAATTCAGCCCTTGGCGAAGAGAGAGTAGCCGTCCCACCCAACACTAGTAATACCGAGGCGCGGTTCTATACTTCAGTACTACCGCCCCTTGGGAACAGGTGTATGTGTAAGATGCACATTCTAAGGGAAGTTATGATGGCGGCCCGGCATTTTGTGGATCTGCCGACGGTCCTGGTGGCGATGTCGACCTGCCTGCTGTCCTACTTGTACCTGCAGCGTCACAGGAACCTCCCGCCCGGGCCCCGGCCGTGGCCTATCGTCGGGAATATTCCGTACTTGATGTGGCTAAAGGTGAGTGCACGTTGCGGTGCAGGTGTAACATGTTTGTGTGCGATTAACAACCACCCTTACCTTAAAGGTATCCAGTGCAGTTTTTAGGGATTGGAAAACCGATTTTTCAAAGTTAATATTCTAGTCACTTATATATACTGAGTTGAAACCACACTGCCCAAATTTATATTGACCCTCAAACACCCCTAATTCTGACGGAAAATGGTTACCAGAAGGGTCCTTGGCTGATTTTTAGGGTACCACCCAGAAAAAAAGACTCATATTGGGGCTTATTTGTGCAATTTTTAATACCCAGAGTATGAAGTACTGATTGAAATGTGCTAATGTGAAACAGTATATGTTAATATAACGCAGATTGCCTTATTCGGAATAATTCCAGTTTTGCTGCTCTGAAATCGCATTGGATGCCTTTAAAAGAATTTTTTTAAACTATCAGGGAACTTGAAAAGAACGCGTTGTGTAGTAGGATCTCTCTCGTGGGTCATGATTTGAACTGGTGACGTGCGATCATGATGTGCTGTTTATATCCTAAAGAATGTATTCACAATACGATCTCAATGGTGCAATAAAAATGATTGGCATCACGGGCCGTAGTTTTTTTTTAAATTCATTCCAACGTTTAATCCCAAGACTTGGTGACGACACACTCAAGTTTTTTTAACTTATATTAATGCCGCCATCAATACAGGGGACGATACAATACTCATTTTCACCTGAGCGAAGTGAGGAAATTTGTGTAACGTGCCTTTCCCAAGGGCACAAGATCGGTGGCATGTCAGGACCTCTTGATTCCGAGTCGAGCACTCTGCCGCTACGCCACACGACCCGCAGTTTAACACCGCACTATAAACTGAGCAATGAAGCCACGAATTCTGGAAAATAAATTCTCGTCTAAAGCAGTGGAAAACTGTTAAATTATCCCCCATTCTTTGTCTTAACAGTCCCATGTCGGCATGCACCACGTTTCTCAGTCATCATCAAAACGTGGGACTATTCATTAGCCTCAGACTCCAAAGAAAAAGGCAAAGGCAAACCTTCAATGATTACATAGACACCAGATAGCTTTACATTATTTACCCTTTTATATTTTGAGTGTTACCTTGCAACGAGTTTGCAAACACATGTAAAAGAATGAAAATTAAAATGTTCCGCAACTAAAGAAAATGAGTCATCGGAATTGTTTACCGAATCTATCGATTTCCACTAAAGTGCTGAAGACAAGTAAATTTTCTGCCACGTGTGACGTCAGCACTGGGTCAAAGTTCATCGGAAGTCGGTACCGCACCCCGTCCTGGTTGAGTGTGCCTGGATGTAGATGACTTCCTTCACTTCTCTGACAAAATGTACAAGAATTGTAAATTTGTTAAATTCCCCCGTCTCCACAGCCTCAGTTCGGCCCCACCTTTCTCACCGATCTGTCCAAGACGTACGGTGACGTCTTGTGTTTCTGGATCGCCCTGAAACTTCACGTGGTCATCAGCGGTCACGACACCATCCGCCGCGCGCTGGTCACCCGGGCTGACCACTTCTCCAGCCGCAGGATACCACCTACACAAGCCTACATCCGCGGGGACGGGACAACCACTAAAGCGGCGAAAGGTACAAGACTTCCATGACACTACTTGTGACAAGTCTATTTGTTTATTTCTTTATCTGGATTTTGCCCAAAGTGAAAAGGAGGGCAAAAGTGATCTCGAGTCAGTTTTAAACCCAAGCCCGTTACTTTACGAACCGAATCGAATTTGAGTCAAATTTTAGGATTTATATATGTTTAGAAGATGTCGACGAAGCAATGATTTTTTCCCCGTCTGAATTTGTCGTATCCTGTATGTAAACAGACACCTTTTATTTAAGAAGAGTAATCACCATATCAAAGACCGATTCGCTACTTATGATTTAATATTAGGTGTTCTGTTTGCCGAGTACGGACCAGACTGGAAACAGCAGCGGAGGTTTTCCCTGAAGACCCTCCGAGACTTCGGCGTGGGTAAGCGGAGCCTGGAGGGGAAGATCTGCGACGAGGCCGCAGCGCTTAGTCGGGAACTTTTGACAAAAGACGGTCAACCCTTCGACATAAAACACTTGTTGCAAAATTCCGTCTCCAACATCATCTGTTCCATCGTATTTGGGAAGCGGTTTGAATATGGTGACCCCGAGTTCTTGCTCATCATTACCTTGTTGAACAACGTCGTAGACACTAAGCCAGGGAAAGACATTCTTGTTAACATCCATCCCGTTTTTCGCCACATCCCTTACGCCTCTCCGGAGGACAAGAAACTCACCAAGAACCTCTTAGGAATGCAGGCTTTCTGTAAAGAGCAGATTCAGCAGCACAGGAAGACCTTTGACCCAAACGACATCCGGGACTTCATCGATGCCTTCCTGCTGGAACAGCAGCACGCTTGCGCAGGAGGCGACCAATCACAGACTGGCTTCACGGACAAACAGCTACAGGAGGTTTGGTCTGCAATCTTCTTCTAGTTTAATACCTTGGCCAAGAAGGTAATGTTTTCAGTTTTGGCTTGGTGAAGTGGCTGTGGTATTGGCCTGTGGATGGATATTTGGCCTTAATGATATTTGGTAGGTGAGTAGTGGTTGAGAAAACGAAGGTCAAGTTCGAAGATGGTTCACCTGGCGTTTTGCTACAATACTGCAACGGGCTGTGTGTGTGTGTGTGTGTGTGTGTGATTGTATGTATTTATGTATGTATGTATGTATGTATGCATGTATGTATGTGTTTGTTTGTGTGTCTATATGTGGTCAGAAACGAAGCTACAGCAGATAGGGTTGGGCTTTTCATGCTGTTACCTATATCGGGGGTGTCGATTTTTTTTCAAACGTTCATAACTCGGGGTGTGGTGCATGTATCCTAATGGTATTTCATAGCTACGTTGTGGTTGGGACAATTATCAAGGTCATGGGCATTCTTTTGTTTCTTTACGGTATTGCAGCAGCATTGATGGGTTGGGTATCTGGTGTTTTGGACAAGCTAAGTGATTTTCGTAAATGTATTTACTATCGCGGTGGTTTCATTTCTGGGGCGTCCTCTTGACAGGAAATCATGACACCGCATTTCTATTTTACTGCGGAATTCTCAACGTGAGCTTGAAACGCCGCAAAAAAAAATTGCTTTTCCTTGCCACGAAATAATACCAGCCCAAATTTAAAGTAAATTAATGCATTTACGCTGCACAGTCATATCAATAAATTATAATTAATTCATCAGTGAATTCACCAGTATACGGTGAAATTAGCGAGTAAAATGCAATATTATAAGTGTGAATCTCAAAAGATATTCGAATCCGCTCCAATACATGTATGTAATTGCGCAATGGCATCAATAACTGGGGAAAGGGCACAACTATGGCTGTCAACATAGCTTTAAGTTCAATGGCTTTTGCCCTACATTTGAGTACAAAAATGTCACGGGCATTGCACGATCATTGTTTGCTTGTATCAAAGGTTGACATGATTATGATCACACGCACAAACACGGTAAATGTTTTTTTCGACCTTTATTTAACCTTGAACCGTACAACGGCTCCGAACAACGAGGTCCCGAGTTCGAATCCTGCCATGCCAAGCAATTTACATGAATTTCCTCACTTTAATCAGGTGAAAATAAGTACGTCTGTTGCACATGTCCGTTCATCATGCGTTTATCAAAGAACGTAGGAGACGGCATTAAAAGAAATGAAAAAAACTCGAGTGTGTCGTCGTCATGTCTTGTAAAAAATGTTGGAATAGAAAAACAAATCATACTGCGTACTCGCACTGCTACGAAACAGCTATACAGCTTCGACCCTCACATGCTGGACACCCATAAGGCACATGTGGAATCCTTCAAGGGCAGCCTGCAGTGCCAACGGCCTGTATGTCCTGTGAAACTGTCTCGCTGCTGATCAGCAGAAACTGATATCAACGTCAGCATTTAAAGAAAAACGGACTGTAGACTAGTTGAGAGGACTGAATTTGGAAAATGAACTACGTATGTAAATGTGCCTATAATGTGACTGTGTTGTATATGTACATGTTTGTAACGTTTTTGTATATTGTTGGGTACAATTTGTATTTTTATGAAATTGTATGTTTTAATGTGTGCCCAGGGACGCCTGAAAAGCAGATCAATGGATCTGAGGTATTCCCTGGTGAAATAAATAAACTTGAAACTTGAAACACTCTTCGGCCTAAGCCGCTGTTCAAGAGCTCAAAGGGAGGATGGTCAGGGGTCTCAACTCACAACGCATCGTAGTTACTCATAAGTTTCACGACTGCGTCTTTTGATATTTCTTTACAGGTTCTGTTGGACCTGTTTCTGGCCGGGACGGAGACCACCTCCACTACAATGTGCTGGGCTCTGTACTACATGGTACTGTATCCACACATACAGGAAAAGGTAAGTTACTTTTCTTGGCAAGGCATTAGTATATGATTATCTTTTATAAGAAAAATATATCGCTGTTTGCTAGTGTCGATTTGTAGCCTTTATAGTTGCACAGGAGTCTAACTACAAGAAAATGAAAACATTCAGAACTGATGTGCAACTCTCAAAATGGAATATAAAAATGAAGACAATTCGAAGCCTGCCGATGATAAGGCCGCATTTCCCAATGCAGGGCCCGATCGAGAATACAAAATATAAAAGACAACAAAACACAAAAAATTAAAGAGGTAATAAGGACCACTATTTCTGAAATACATTCTTGATGTGAACTTTTTTTTGTTCACAATTACACAAACCGGTTGGAAAATGTGACTAATTAATAGCATAATGAAGCTACGTTGTTGACTAATTTCTGTTTAGATGTATCAATTTTAGATACATCACGACAACAACTCTTTTATTCTCAGTTCAGTACGACTCTGTTTAGCTAATTGTTTCCCTATCCCACAAAAGGTACATCAAGAGATCGAATCAGTCCTGGGGCAGGCTGTTCCCTCTTACGCCCTCCGGGAAAAGATGCCCTACACAACAGCGACCCTAGCGGAAGTACAGCGCATCAACACCATCTTACCCTACAGCGTTCCACACGCAGTCTCAAGGGACACAACTCTGAACGGTTACAACATCCCAGATGACGCCGTTATATTGGTAGGATAATACCTCTGGTTCACACATATGTTGTGATTGTTGTCTACATGTACAATATTATATAGAATGTTGTAACGTTAGGTGCCTTGCTAAAATTTTTGGACATACGGAAGAGAAGGAGCGATTTGCCCTCAACCAGATTCCGTGGTGTAGCGGTTATCACATCTGCCTAACACGCAGAAGGTCCCCGGTTCGATCCCGGGCGGAATCATTTTTATTTTTCCAGTTATATGCTGCATGGAGAAGTTGGATCTTATCCAAAGGCTAGAAGCAGTATTCTTAATCTAAATCTATTCATGGCCAAAAGGCATTGCCAATGGTGGGCATGAGTTTTGTTTTTTTTTTTTTTTTAGTTTCACCAAGGGCGCGGGCGTTTGATTGTCAATGAAATGCCATATGATTGAAAACCGATTGTCAATAAAATACCATATGATTGAAAACCAAGCAATGAAACCAGACGCTACGTAATTATCAAATGTGGCAATATGCCACTTTTACAAAATATATCAGCTTCTCCGTTAGAAAGAGCTCATGATGCATTACAATTGTTCATCTAACTTCGAGTCGTATTAGCATTAGTCTAAGTCACCAAGGTGACCCATTGTTTGAGTCTCAAATCGTCATGGCACTCACGCTACCCAACCAGCTATTCCCATCTTGGCCCCTGACAGCTTTTATGAAGCATTTCTTGTTTATCTTTTTACGTTGCAATTGAATCAAGTATAGTTGGATGTTAGATCTGTTCCAAAGTTATTGGATCCGAAGGATGATACTTTGCTTCCATATCGACACCTGTAACTCAAATTCTACAAAAGGCCAGTTGTAGTATTTGTAATCTATCCATGACAAATTTTGGACATGATTTAATTTTCATTTTACATTGTAACTGTGTTCCAGGTGAACCTGTGGTCCGTGCACATGGACCCTCAGCTCTTCCCGGAACCAGACAAGTTCAACCCCGACAGGTTCCTGGATCGGCACGGGAACTTCGTCAAGCACGAGGCGCTCATCCCGTTTTCTGTCGGTGAGTTCTGTATAACGTTATTTGTAGTCAGAATCAGACATATGACACAGAAATAGACATATGAGTTCGAGACTCAAATTTCATCGAATTATTAGATAATACGTCATCGAATTATTAGATATTTATTGCATCAAAACTTCTTATATCTTCTTTAGTTTTATATTTTTTTTTACTCACTTGCCGTTTGATAAATAATTCAAATGCATATCAGGAAAACAAGTGTCCAGAAGTCTTATGTGCCCAACTATTCTCCAAACAGAGTTTGGGTTTTGGCTTATGCTTACTTATTTCTGGCTTGGGTTTTGGCTTATTTTTTTATCTTTTATCGGGCTTTCTTTTTTGCACTGGTACCTTATACGCGAACATGTACGTAAGCCTAGGCTATTGCTCAGTATGTGAAACTCGACTGAGAAACACTCAGCAGTGATAATATAACATAGCCTGGGTACCATCCGGATTTTCGCTACGCAACGCTCGAAAAAATTCCTGTGACAGTAACTCTGGAGAGGAGCCCTCCATCAGCTCCTCCACCTCCCCTGAACCAGACCTGGACAACAGCAGTGATGAGGACTACAAACCTGAGATCACAGACAATACAGCAGGGAGTGTTGCGTAGCGAAAATCCGGATGGTACCCAGGCTAGTGATAACATTGTTTTAATTCACAACCTTACATGATTATGTATATAGTGATCAATGATCAATCATCGTTTTGAACTGCAGGTCCTCGCGTGTGTCTGGGAGAACAGCTGGCTAGGATGGAGCTTTTCCTTCTGTTCGTTTCCCTGATGCAGCGTTTCACCTTCCAACTGCCAGAGGGCGCCCCTACACCGTCCACGCCAGGAAAGATGACCGCGCTGATCAACATGCCGCAACCCTACGAACTTTGTGCCGTACCACGTGGCTAGCGCTCTTGATAAGTGACTTTGGGCGGAACGTTTAAAAAAGTGCAATACTAGAATTAGAGTTCTAAACGTTGCAAAAAAAAAACAGGGTGTAGAGAACTATTAAAGAATCTGCTTGATGATTAAATATTTAATTTAGTAGCTACTTCTACCACTACAGTTAAACACGACAGGATATACGCAAAGACTGAAACTACAATTTCTAGAGTCTGCTTTTGATAGGAACCTGACTAAGCAATGAATTGAAATTGCAATAATGACTGTTGTGCCGTCTCATGATTTACATAGGCTAATATCACCTTGAGTGCTGTGTATTTGAAACGTAAAGTGAGTCAGAATAACAAAAGCAAAAAGATTAAAGTATTCTATTATCTTAAACTATGAACATGGATGATCATACGGCAATTCGTTTTGCCTCGTATCCTTCTTTTCCTGGTGAAAAAAAGGCTTGGCAGCGGTGGGATTCGAACCCACGCCATCGAAATGACTGGTGCCTTAAACCAGCGCCTTAGACCGCTCGGCCACGCTACCTGCATGGCGGTACAGGTTCTACGACACGTTCAAAGCACTTTGTTGGCATCTCAAGCAGTACTAGAGGCCTTCCTCAGGCCAAACAATTTGATTCTTTGGTTTTCTAATTCTTCCATAAATGTGAAGAGACAGAGCGAGAAAAAAAAACAGGCTAAGGCCCCAAATGCTATATGATAGGAGCTATGAAGTCAACATACCAGGCTGGTTTATAATTCATACACTGGATTTTAAACTTTTCATCAAACCAATAAATTACTAACTATAGATGGAAAAACTGTTATGGCCAAAATATGAGCATTTTGGAGTTGAATGATTTTTTTTGCAAAATCAGAAAAAATGCAGCGGGCGAATCCAAGAACTAATTATTTGAATCGGTGTTGCCTCAAGCAAGAAAAATAACATAATATTGGTTTGATACAGGGAATTCGAAATCGCATGTATTAGGATTATATGAGACATTGCAATAATCCATTGTGAGCGCACGGAAGCTGGGGGGCAATATCAAACTGTAATATTGGATACTCCTCATACCTCAGGGCAGCTATAACAACCAGATTCCGTGGTGTAGCGGTTATCACATCTGCCTAACACGCAGAAGGTCCCCGGTTCGATCCCGGGCGGAATCATTTCAGGGAGAAAGATATTTTTGGTGCTGCTCATTTGCATGACAATAGGCGGTGTCTCGTGACGCACACCTGCAGCTACGCGGTCATTTGCATAAGTCTCCTGATTCGTCTGATCCGAAATTCAATTAGTGCCATCACCTGTCTGAGGTGCGCGGGCCAGATGCAGCGCTGGGAATAGCAAAAACAGGACTCAAGTTTTTCGAACGTGAAAGATGTCGACCCGCCGAGTAAGGCCCCGTCATGAACCGCATCCACCATGTACTTCGGATTTACAGTGCCCCATAACACTTAACAGTGTAGAGGCTGTTATCGCAGGTCTCAAGGACCCAAAGGGAGCATCAGCCATCGCTATCCAGAGAAGTATCCAGGCTGTACACCCTGAGATGGAGGTAGACCGGTGTAAGGCACTGCTGAAGGCCGTGTTGCTGGAAGGGTTGGACAGCGGACGGCTGCGTCGACCGCCTGGCTCGAAAGTTGGCCGCGGCCTGGTCGGACGATTTCTGCTCAAAGCAACCGACGGAACGTCCGCGGAAACGTTGACCGCTCTACCAGAGTCTCACGACGGAAAGTCCGCGGAAACGTTGGTGGCTGTACCAGAGTCTCACGACGGAACATCTGCGGAAACGTTGGTGGCTGTACCAGAGTCTCACGACGGAACATCTGCGGAAACGTTGGTGGCTGTACCAGAGTCTCACGACGGAACGTCCGCGGAAACGTTGGTGGCTGTACCAGAGTCTCACGACGGAACGTCCGCGGAAACGTTGGTGGCTGTACCAGAGTCTCACGACGGAACGTCCGCGGAAACGTTGGTGGCTGTACCAGAGTCTCACGACGGAACGTCCGCGGGAAAGTTACCCGCTCTACCGGAGACTCAGGACGGAACGTCTGCGGATCCAGAGAAGTCGACCGCTCTACCGGAGAAACACGATGATGAGGAAAACGCAACACAGCTGCAAGTGAGTTTGTGATTGTGATTTGTTTATTTGCACATATACAACGAAATACATATTAATAGAGTAATAAAAATGGACAAATATATTATGGACAAATATGCACGTGGGCCTCCCCCAAACGAAAAAGTAAATAATAGTAATTACATTAACAAGAAATCAAATTATGTACAGAATAACTAAAACACAATTTTCTTACGTGTTGGAAGAAAAAGTTTAGCCATTCGTAATAATGAACTTTCATGTCATCGATGATATATGCACAACTATTAGGAGGAGGAGGAGGACCCACTAGTGGCGCCGGGAGATCTGACGTTTGAGCTGGAAGAGCCGTGCACCCCGGCCGCCTATATACAGCGGGTACGGGAGGAGAGGGACAGGCTGGTGGGACAGTGTCAGGAGGCAGAGGGCTACCTGAACTACTGGAACCTCCCTGCACATGGTATGTACAGTGTAGTCTGTTTCACGTATAGTCCAGCGGTTGGCAACCCCGCCTCTGTACCAAGAGGTTAGGAGTTCGAATCCCGGCTGTTGTCGCCCATTCGACATGCTCGCTACTCCAAAGGGCCACAGTCCTTCGGACAGGAAGTTAAGCCGTGGTCCATTGTTCATTGTGCTTATTGAAAAGAGCTTAATTGGAATTTTCCTCCGTACAATGAACCTGTAAATACTGTACATAGCATCTGTATACTTCGGATTCTGAGTCAACAACCCAAACCACAAGACCACCTTGCCACCTAGTCTGCACTTCTTACTAAATCTGCCATGTGTCGCTCTTGTTCAAGTGCAAACTTGGACGTGGACGTAATTTTTTTACCTGACTTTCAGTGCCTAAACCTATTAGTGGACGACACGTGTGCATACCGGAAAGTATTCACTTAAGAAATTCACATTGAATTGAATCTCATTTTGAAGCTCTTTTGTTGCATTCTGATGAAGTCTTTACTACATTATGTTGTTTCAGTTCTTGATCAAGTCCGCATCGCGGTTGGCAGGTCAAGGCTGATCACAAGTAACGCGAGATCCCCGCTGGCCAGGTTTGAAGAACTGTGCCGAGAAGCCATGGTGAATATATAGAGGGCTTTGTTTGTTTTTATGTTAAACATATGGTTTCTTTATGATACGTTGATACTCTACTCAATGTAAATCATTTATATGTTTGCAGCCCTCCCATGTTAGGATGTTTCCAAAAGTCAAGTCGTTTACCAAGAAATGCTCTCTGATCGTGATATTTGTACGTGTTTGTAATATAATTCTCTGTGTGAGACAACACCAGCAACAGCTGCTTGGGCTCAATTCCAATAAATCAAATCAATTACGCTGTTTTTCCTCCAACAGATACTAGGGGGCGACAACCCGTACAAAGCAAGCATGAACGACCTGGATGCGTATTGGGAGGTTGTCGAGCTGGAGGTAATTATATCAACAAAAACACAAACAAACAAACAAGCAAATAAACTTTGTCTATTCAGGTAATGATATCAACAAACAAACCTGCTTTGTCTATCTGTTCAAGCATGTCATCTGTCTAAGTCTAACATGTTCAAGAAACGCAATGTTCTGACTGTTATTACTCCGTGAAGGAGGTATCCCTCCTGTAGGAGTATTGTGGTCAGTTGTTTTTTCGCGTTCGCAGGTAAAACACACGATACCCGTTGTTTAATCGGCATGTTGAGTTGATACGTCGTCTCCGGGCATGCCCGTGATGATGCCCGTATTTTTGGTTCCTAGTGAATTCTTTCATCAGTGACAACTTTGGAAGGATAAAGATACTAACCTCCAAATTTTCGATGGCTATCAGTCCATCTTGTTCACGGAGTGGCCTAATCTCGCGAGAGCGCGAG